TTTTATTCACGTGGCCGATGCAGCGGGGACTGCTAGTGCAGGCCGCGTGGGCGTTGATTGCTTGACCGTGATGTGATTCGTGTGTATCGATTTGGTTCTTCTCGGATTCAAATCGCTCCTGCAAACTCCATCCTGGTTCAACGACGCACTGAAGAAGAAACACACATGGGAATTTTCCTATCGTTCCTGTCCAAGTTGAACTTGAACTTGAGTTCATGGTACTTGCGTTTACTGTTCCGGATGGCATATCGACGGACAAGTTTAAGTGTGCAATTGTTAGAGGGAACAATACTGCGGAAAACTTGGTACACGTTAGGAGGATGACTAATAGAATCAGCAAATCCCTAGCCAAAGTCAACTTGAGGACAGAGGCTAGTAGAACCTTGCCCAATAGAATACCGCATTGTGAACAATCTCGCAATGATACCAAGTTACTGCAATTATACGTCGATCCACCAACCCGGACGCTACCGAATCCAAGCGACGTACTGGTGAGAAGGTCCTTCGTATCACCACGGCAAACAGTTCGCTATGACGGGCACTGCGTCTGGCAATCTACACAGCTACGCGCAACGTCCCGCGCATCCAGGCTGCTGCGCATCTGCCACAGCCTTCAGACTTAGGCGCCGGTCAAAATACATAGGCCAGATAGTCCACTACTTCTTAACCCGCAACCTGTGCATTTTTGGACAAGGTAGGGATGAAACTCTGATGCAATATTTATCGTGGAAACATCGCTTTCCGTTATGCTGCAGAAGATGTAAGCCCACTGCGTGACTATCAGCTTTTTAGGCAAACTTGGGTTTATAGTCGAGGGGGTGGGAGTGCCATTTATGTTTAACCACCGTACACTGCAAATATGTCTGAAATGATGACTCAGACGCCTTGATGGACTCAGTACGGATGTCCGCTGATATGCTTGGATCGACTGAGCTACGTTGGGGTGTTTATATACCACCCGGTACCTCAATTAACATTGACAACACAAGTATGGTTACAACTGAGCAGGCATCAATGCTTTCGGGCAAATACAAACGGGTTGCAGGTGATTGCAACCCGCCAGTGTAAGCCTGGTTTCGCCTGCTGCAAAAATGAAGTATGCAGGCCTACTAGCATATATCAAGCTGCGTGAACGGACGCAACGTGTACACGATCTAACCATGGCGAAACATAATGTTGACTTAATATTCACTCTCGGCATTCCTTCAACACGATTGTCAGTTGGCCAGAACTTTCCGGGTATTGAACACAGTTTAGTACCTCGAGCTGCATAGTTAAAGTGACGTAATGCATATACCACAAAAGCAGACATAGGCATATTCTCCATCCCATTGAACATAGCTAACTAGACAAACTTTGCTGCACTAGCCACAGCAAGAACTTGAATTAGACGCTTTATGTAGAATTCTTTGGAGCATTCCGCCGAATTGTATTATGCGAAAAATATTAATATGTGTCCGTGTTACGGAAGACCAGGGTAGAGTTAGTGCCTAGACAAATTTCTCGTGCGCTCAGGTCTGGCTCGTAGGTTGTATAGGGGATGAAACCGGCCTTGAACCCTTGTCTGCCCTTGGACATGAGGAGCCCACATGCACACGTTTTTCTATTTGGTGTGACAATCTGGGCCACCAGACGCACGCAGCAACCTTACCTTTCGTACGAACGATACCAGGGTGACTTTCAAGAGCGCATAGCATGTTCTCATGCAGCAAGCCCCGAGTAGCCACGAAACTTTCGCCACGCATTAAGCATCCATCTGTAAATGAAAGTTCGTGACGCAACACGTAGCACGGAAGAAACTCGCCTATGAGCTTGTTATTTTGTGGCTAACAGTTTACCAGAAACCGCTGAATGAGGCACAGTGACTCCTCTTCCTGAGTCGCCCTATAGAGTTATTTTTTAGTCAGAGCTGAAATTGGTGCATTACTCAAGGAAGACACCAGTGATCTCTCATAGACATCCTCAGTATTTCCAGTTTTATTGAGTGGTAGTATAGAGAGAGTCCATCCGCTACCTAGTTTGTGTGTCCAAGATGGAAGTTAATTTGCAAATCGTATGTTAACAAGCGTGTATACCAGCAAGGTATCCGAAGTGGCCTGATGCCATTTGTTTCCCGAAAAATTAAGCTAGTTAATGCTGCGTGGTCTGTAGGAAGCGTGAAGGGCCTACTGCACAAGAACACATTCTATGTTTCATGGGTTCAAACGCAGGCAAGAGCTCCATTTTTCCGGCAGACTAAGAAAGCTCCGCCACCGACTATTCTCTGGTAGCGTATGCAATAACTATTGCATGCCCATTCTGAAGTGGGATAGTATGGCACCCAACCCAATATTTGATGCATCAGTTGAGACAATCGTTGGGCAGTTCTCGTCAAAAAGCGCCATGACTGGTATGGAAGCAATGCGGCGTTTAATCTCGTCGAATGCCTTTTGTTGTGGGTGACCCAAAACAAACACTTTCTTCTTTGTCGGTTCAGGCAGTGGCTCAGCAATGTTCGTGAAATCCTGCAAGTAAAGTAGTTTGCAAGAACACATACCTGCAAAATATTTTATTCCGTTGGAGTTCTGTGGACAAGGAGTCTCGTTGCTGGCATGCGCGTTATCCAAGCTCGGATTCATACCGTCAGTTGCTAACACGTGGCCCCATAACTCGATTTCACCAGCATTAAATTTGCACTTCTTGAGGTCTAACCGGAGGTTAAGACCATGTAATCGACGTAAGCTGCATGCGGTCGTGAACCATGTGCTACTGGATGCCTGCCCAATACACAGATTAGGCTCATTTGTGCTATTTTGCTGAGTACCTTGGCAAATGTGTGGACCATGAACGTCTGCCAATCTGATGTGGCTGAAAACAAGGACATTGACAAGACCGTGTGCAAAATGTAGCCACTGCATAACTCTCAGCTCGAGGGGCTGTAGGTTATATAGGCATGTCATATCGGTGAAGGCCATAAAAACTACTCGGTACTATAATGATCGGAGACGCTTCATGAACTTACATATGAACATGTGTTGTTCTATCACGTTCAATACCTGTGACAGTACGAATGTCAGGTACTTGTATTTTAGACTCTGGATACTAGGTACGATACTTAGGCATAGTACCAATGCTGTAGATGGAAAAGACCTTTTCCAAAGAAAGTGCCTGCTGAATGGAAACGAAACCTGTAGGATTCACCTGAGAGCCGTCTCCGAATGACAACAAAGAGCAAAACGTCCGCGCATACCGAGCTTTTGCTATTATTTCTAAGGCGGGGCACTTGGTACAGTTAGACGCATGCTGTAGGCTACCGCAGAGGAAGCATTACCGCGAGGATTGTAATTCGGGTGGTGATGCTGGCTCTTGGCAACCTTCTGTATGCTTGCGTGGGTAGCGAAACATCGCAACTGCTCCGCCATATACGCTTTGTGGCGAGCTAACTCCACAGCCTTAACCCTAGTCAATTTGTAAGCATTTTCGGAAAGTAGACCTTCCCGACTTCGGTTATTGGGGATTTCTCTGATCAACTGCTGCACTATCATTACGCCCTTGTTTCTATGTTTCGGTAGGGTTGGGCACGCGCAGTGACGTGCACCGCGAATAAGGCGCTCAACAAAATTGTCCTGATTTTCCGATGGTTCCCGTGTAAGTCGGCAGAAGTTACGGCGAGTCATGCGGAGGTGTGTACGCTGACGCCATGACCGGTCCAGCACCTCTAGTACTTTTGTTAAGATACCTTGAGACTGGCGCTCCAAAGCATCAACTTGAGGTTGTCTCTCACTACCGAGTAGGTGTCTGAGAGGCTTCAGTTTCTGACCTTCGGTGTAGTTAGCAACCGAAGGCAATGGGTCAAAGTAGTTTGTAACCCCTGTTTTCCACTGAGCCTGTGCATCTTTGGTAGGACGTACGGTCGGATCAAACCAGTTAACGGTAGATGTAATTCCATGCGGTACGTTCGCAAGCCGCGACGCGAGTGTTGTGTACGACAAGTCAAATTTACAAGCCGAACTAAGCAGACCACTCTAGTAAACCAACTACTGTAATCAGTTTAGTGTCTAGCATCGTGAGTACATTAACATGTCGCAAAGTGTAGGATGAATCAATAGGGGAGCAGAGAATTAAACGCTTTGTGTGTTCGTCTAGGCTGTGTACACTTGTCTGTTTAGACGAGCCGTCAGGCGCACTTACAGAATACATAACAGGCCGTTGCTTTCCGACTTCGCTCAGTTCACCTAGACGTTCTCAGCACAAGTTTTAGCTAACCTATAAGATTTATCTGGAAAACATTTATTTACAGATTGAATTGTTTATGAAGCGATGTATATGAGGATGGATAGACCAAGCACTCTTGCAACGGATCTTAATTTTCCCCAAACTCCAGATGCATCATTATTGTCTATCTGTGGGGCAGCCTTTGTTGGTTGCCTATTTTCTCCAAGTTTTCCGCAGCGTAGGTGGCCAGCCGCAGAGGAATGGTCCATCTGTTTGACTTAAACACTTCAAAGAAACATAAGCTACCTGTATCTGGAAACGCAATGGTAATTATTCCGCTGTTTTATAACTTACCGGATGGAAATTACTTATTCATTACCCTGGATGGATGCCATTATACTAAGGTCTGAACAGTTGGTTCAGCTTGCCGCTTCTTCGCATACTTCGTACCAGGAGCGCCCTAGCTGAATTGTAACGCAAATTCTATCACTTTACCTACCAATGCTATGCACCTAACTTAGGTACAATATTACCCCCCCCACGCTACAAAAAACTTATTGTTCAAACCCACAGGGTAACCCTTCTAATATCTATAAGTGGACCACTCAAAACCCCCAACCACCATTTCTCTACCCACAACAAACTTACAAATTACTCATCCACAACCTCCACCCCCCCCCCCACAATCTCTCCAAATTAAATAACATCATTCCCAATAACCCAAAATCTATCCCCCTAATTAACTACCAACACTTCCCCACCCCCACCCAACCCACCACACCCACCACCCCCCACCCAACCATCACCCCCACCCCCCCCCAACCCACCCCCACCCACCACCCCACCACCCACACCAACCCCACCCCCCACCCAACCACCCCCCCACCACCCCCCCCACACCACCCCACCCAACCACCCCCCCACCCACCACCCCCACCCACCACCCCCACAACCCACCACCAACCCCACCCACACCCCCCCACCCACCACCCCCCCCCCCAACCCCCACCAACCCACGCCCCACCAACCCCCCCCCCCCACACACCCCCCCCCCCACCACCCCCACCACAACCCACCCCCACCACCCACCCACCCCCCCACCCCCCACAACCCCCACCCCCCACCCCCACCCCCTCACCCCCCCCCCCACCCCCACACCCCCACCCACCCACCTACCCCACCCTCCCACCCCCCAAACACATAATATTTGCTCCTGCTTTGGCGGTGGGCCTCGTGCACCACCGAGAATATATATATACATCTGTTATAGTTTGGATAGTCCAGCCGGCACTAATGGTCGGTGTATTCAGCTTGTAAGTAGATTCGACCGGGAGAAGCAGTATATCCTTCCTCGACCACGAATAGACCAAATCACTCCTTGTGCAGCTTTGCCGGAACGCCCTGAGATGGATTTGGAATGTGGAGGTGGACTCGTTGTGCTGGTTAAAGTAGACAGCCGTGCACTTGCTGGTCACCCTAATCATTTTACATCGAGAGCCAGTTCCTACGCGCTCTCGAAAGAGCGAATAAGCCCTGCTCAGTTCCTTTGTAGAAGAACGGCAAAGGCCGTGGCAAGAAGCGAATTAGCTGTCGCGGCGTGCACAGTCAAATCAGTCAGCAATCTCATTTCGCGCCCGATTACCATGAAGTGTGGAGTGTTAGCAGTAGATAAGTGAACTCTGACCGATAGGGCTGGAGGCACTGTAGAAGTGCAATACCCCAATCGCGGCTGTGGTGTTCCTTTGTGAACGCTTTTTTAAGACCCTTCAGCGATCGAATTGTGCGCTCTACTTAGCCATTGCCCTGTGGATGGTAGGGAGTTGTCTGGGTCTTTTGAATGCCCAGTATTCGGCAGTGTAAAGACACTACAAAGCTCCCAAATTCGGACAACGATCTGCATGATTACGCTCAGGGTCATTGCCGTGAAATCCAGTGGTCACACACAAACTGAACTGTGGATCCAGCGTCACGGTACGGTATTGGTATTGACACAACCTTTGGTGAAACAATCGACCAAAACAAGTATATATCGATTCCCTCGCGGTGGTTCAAGCAGCGGTCCGGGTTGACGTCATCTACCTGGACTTCTCCAAGGCTTTCGACCGCACTGATCGACGCATCCCACTCCAACGGCTACAGAGCTACGAAAGAGGAGGTCTTTTACTTGGTTGGACTGGCAGCTACCTTCACCAAGGGAAGCTTCCAGTACGTGTTAGGGGATCATTCACTAACCCAATTGAGGTGGAATGTGGTGTCCAACAACCCTCAGTGCTGAAGCTACACCTATTCCTGGTGTTTAGCAACGGCCTGGCAAGTTATCGCTTCCACTTTCCTGCGTTTCGCCGTTGAACTCAAGTAAAGGCGGGCGATTAGTAACAAGCCAGATCATGAGCTACCCCAACCTGACTAAGGTTGCATGTACGAATGGTCAACGAGGAACACGCTTCAAGTAACATAGCTAAGTGCAGCTGCAACACCAGCCGGTGAGCGCTTACAAGCTCGGAGACCACACCTTGGAGAGGGTCTCTCAGGAGCGCGCCCTGGGTGTATTGGTACAGGAAGAGCGCGGATGTTCAAAACAAGCAGCGAAGGCGACGAGAACCGGCAACCAACAATTCGGCTGGTTTCGCAGAGGCCTCGGTTGGGTTGAACCCTCAAACGTTCTCTAAACGCTTAAGGCCTACTTGCAACCGCAGATGGAATATGCTATCCAGGCGTGGCAGCCGTGGCAGAAACAGGATCGTGTTGCTCCCAAAATCCTCAACATAGGGCAACCCAGCACTCAGGGGCCAGTTCACCTGCCCTATCAGCTTAGACTGGAATCTCTAGGAATGTACAGTAGTCCATATCGGCTTTTGCTGGGGGAGCTCATAACTGTTCACCAAATTATGTAGAAAGCAACCCACACTTACAGTCCGCTGCAGGCATTGAACCACAACAATAACCTAAGCGGTCACTCGCTGAAACTGACACTTCAGTATAGCGGGCTTGAATGCCATAGAAATTTCTTTCCCTCTGCGCGTACCAGCCTTGAAACGTCCACCCTAATTATGTCGCCTCTGCGCGCAATCAGTCGATATTTAACAAACGAGTTGACGAATCATTTTCTCATTTACATTTATGTCTCATTTTACCCATGACTTATGCTACCCATTTACATTTATGACGTGTTAGCCAGGGGTTACAAAACGCAACCAAACGGTGTCTTGCCAAACGCTCAAGCAATGGATTTGCGGATTTATCCGTTTCATATGCGAACATGTCCGCTATTTTACATAAGTCTAGGGTGAGTCTACCAAACCGCTTTTCACTTTATCACGCATTTCAAGTTTCGCAATAATTTGCATCCCACGGGACTTGTTAGGCAACGCTATTTTGCCCGTAATAAACCAGTGTTTCATTGTTCCATTTTGGGGATATCCACGCACCATGAACTGCAGGGGAGCTGTTCATGGTTCGTGGTTGCTCAAGGCGGATGTACACATGGCATGCGTTACCAAACTTTGCAATATGTCGACACTGTTGAGACCACCAGAAGTCCAAGTCTGCCGCTTGCTTCATTTTCCGTTGTTCCGCATATCCCAACTCCCTATCTAGCTGTTCCAGTATCCCCCGCACCATGGACTGTGGAACGATAAGTCTGCTAGGGTAATTCTAACCAAACTAGTACTACCTGCACCATCCAATAGCCAAATTTTCGACTAAAGTGATCACAATCAGTGCGATTCCCAGCTAGATGCAGTCATTCTGTTTTCGTATGCCTCAAACGCCCCTGTCGTAGGCGCTAATAAACCAGCTGGGTCTCTGTGTGTGTATTGTGGGCTGCTGCCCAAGCAGTTGAAAGCGAATGGTTTAACGACACGATGGAAACTTTCGGGGTTGTGCCAGATGGACAATCCCCATGTGCTCTAGGCAGTCGGCGAGACAGGGCGTCTGTACTTCTGTGTTGCTTCCTGGGGCAATGTTGACATTCAAAGTCGAAGGCTGGCAGTTGTTCTTGCCAGCGCGCAACTTGCCCTTCGGGTTCGCGAAATTCCTGCAAACACCGGAGCGCCCGATGATCAGTACGGAGCACAAAGGGTCGACCCAACAAGAAAGGTTGGAAATGTTGAATGAAGTTGACCAGATCAAGCATTTCCTTCCTAGTAGTGCAATAGTTTTGCTCCCTTTTTGTCCACTTGCGGCTAGCGTAAGCGACATCGCATTCCATACCATCCCCAGAGATCTTGGATAACACAGCGCTGGCACCAACGTTACTAGCATCAGTGTGCAAACTGAATGTGGCGGCTTGCGGTGACACCCGTGGGGAGACAAGGACTGGGGCGTTGACCAATGAATGACCTAACTCAGCACAAGCTTCCTGACACTGCGGGCTCTAGAGGAAAGGCCTACCCTTCTCCGTGAGTCGATGCAAGGGTGATGCCATATCCGCATAGTTTTTCACGAAACGTCTGTAGTAAGAAGCCAGGCCCAGAAAGCTGACAACCTTTTCCACGGACTCGGGAGTAGGCTAGCTTAAGGTGTTGTGTACTTTTGAAGGGCCGCTCCGGGTCCTGGAATGGCTACTTACGTGACATAGCTAGTTAACCACTCTCTATAGCAGGTCGCACTTAGACGGCTTCCAATTCAATCCTGCGGAAATAAGACACTCTAGCACTGTTTCTAGATTGGTGAGGTGTCCATCGAGAGTGCGTTCATGAACTAGGACGTCCTCCAGGTATACAAGACGTCGGCTTGGCTGCAGGTCTCTGAGTACAATGTGCTTCAAACTCTGGAAGGTCGCTGGTGCGTTTACCAGCCCCAAACGCCATGGTCTGAAACCCGTATAACCCTGTGGGTCTAACGAAGGCACTTTCTAATAGGGTGTACTTTGATTTGCTAATAATCTGAGGCGGGGCCCAAAGTAGAGAACCAGATGGCGCCATGCAATGCTTACAGAGTGGCTTCAATGCGAGGTAGCGGGAAATAAGCTTTCCGTGTAATGTCATTAGGCTTTCTATAGTCCACAAAAATGCGCAGTGTTCCATCCTTCTTTTTTGACTATTACTATATGGGTTGCCCGGGGATAGCGAAAGACGTATAACATTACCTTTTAACATCTGATCCAGCGCTATTTGTAATTCCTCTCTATGCACGGGTGGTACACGCCTGGACCTTTGCCGTATTGGTGAAGCATCACCTGTATTAAGCCGTTGCTTAAGTACGCTCGTTCTACCCAATGCTGTACCTATCTACGCGAAAGCGTTCTTGTGTGAACGCAGTAACTTTGCCAGGCGTTTCTAAGCCTCACCGTCAACAGTAGGGCTAGCGGCCGAAAGCAGTTCCGATACCTCACCTTCAACGTTCACGGTGCTAGCATTCAAAGCAAAAAGCTTTTCCAAGTAGACAGTACTGGGTTTGAACTTTAGAGGGAGCAGGTTTCCACGTCATATCAAAACGCAGATGGGCGCTATGACGCATGCATACCGACTTAAGAAGTCCAACCCCAGTATCGCGTCCCATGGAAGTTGATCGGCTATGTAAAACTGAAAAGAAAGAAACTCCTAACCGACCAGCAAGTCTATGAAAGCAACACCATGAGTAAGCAGAACTATACCATTTGCCACCAATCTTACGCCCGGACCTAGTGGCTACTGAGGAAGAGAGGAAACCGGATTTTAGAAGGCTACAGACTGCACCCGTGTCAAGGTGGGCACGCAATCACTGAGTATTGGTTGCTACATCCACAGTTGGGGATTCACAGAACTTAGTGGACACCACAGGTACAAAGGAATTTTTGATGCACTGTGAAGGAATCGCACACCCGGTGCTTGTACGCGCCTTTGCAAATTGCGGGGGCGTCGTACTCGCTTCTCATAGGGCGAATTCTGGCACTTGGAACAATGACGACGGCGAGTATGTGAGTTTAAGCCGTGAGGCGGTTCAGTCCGGTTAGTCGCCGGCTGCACACAACTAATAGCCAGCAGCTTAACAATCTTCCTCGGAGGCTTATCGCGGGTTACTACTTCTTCGTGCGCAAGCCAGGCCGCGGTCGCTAAGTCACTCATAGGCCATCACATAAAACGCTCCGAAGTACGAGCGTCGTTGATGCCTTCAGGAAACCGGTCTAAAATAAAGGTCTCCTTTTCTGTCACCGTTTTTCCTGAAAAATCCTTGGCCGATAGCACGCGAAATCGCGCCAAAAGTCATCGGCAGACTCTGCCACTCGACGGAACCTCTTCCAAAAACGGATCGAGTAGCTGACTCGGGCTCTTTGCTGGA